TGATATAATTTTACACCTGAAGATGGTTCGATGAAACCGAAACATGTTGTAAAAATGTTCCAAATGTAAATCGAATATTCGATGTGGAACATAAAATGATATTTTAATTATCTTATTTGTAAATTTTAAATATAATTGTGATTAATTAATATTGAAATTAATTTAATATTTGATTCACAATATGACGCAATTATACTATCTTACTCCTAGCAAATAAATCTTTTTTCTTTGAACACGAATTTTTCTATACGATGATCCATTTCCACATTCAACTCGTGTATGTTTTTAGCAATTCAAAAAACATACAAAAGCCAAATTTCTTGTTTTGTTCGAAACCTGTCTTGATTCCCGGAAACGGGCACTGAACCCCGCGTTTCTTCGCGAAAGTGACGCTAGAGGCGCTACAGTCAGACTGTCATCTTCTTAGTCCTCCTGTACATGACGTCACAACGCACGTTCATTGGTCATCTACCAGTCAAACACGGGGCACAGTACATGTTTATTTTCGTCAATTCGTTTCTGTCTTGTCATTGGAGCTGTTTATTCGTTGGCGAAATATCTGTAGTGCGGATAAACGAGAGATGTTACAACCACCTGTGACCTGGCTTCTGGTAGGTAAAGTTCTGTACTGTAGTGAAGAAAATATTAGATGGTGTTAAAATACATCGTCAGAGTGAACAGCAGCGGAAAAGTTTGTTACAGATCTGGTGCTAGTATTTTGTACCTCGCTGTCCTTGAGGTTAATTTAGTGCAGACACGAAAACGGAATATTGCAAACCTCATCACGTAAGAACTCAAAATGACGTGCGTTAAAAGATAATTGCTATTAATTCAATTCATTTCAAATGAGCTGAATAACATGCCTGAGTATACAGTAATTAAATTAAAAGCAGTTAAATATAAACAATACATACAAAATGAAACTTTTAATTACTATAAAAGAAAATAGGCTAAGTTAAATGCTAATGACAACAGTAATAGAGCAAAATTCACTCCTTAAGAAGTTAATATTACGCTCATTTAGTAAATAAATTAGTAGCTTTTAGGCAACTTGAAGGTTCATTATCGTGTCCACAGACGTCCGCCACTGGACCCTATCCTAAGCCAGATAGATCCAATTCATATCATTTGAACCTGTTTCCCTGATATCGATTTTTAATATTATCCTCTCATCTACTCTTGAGTCTTCCTAGCAATCTATTCCATTTAGGATTTCCTACCAAAATTCTGTATGCATTTCTACTTCCCCCCCATGTGCGTTACACGCTCCGCCCGATTTTATCGTGATAATGAAGACTAGAAATTGTGAAGGTCCTCAATTTGAAAATTTCTTCCGGCTTAGGTAATTTATCTTAGAGCCAAATTTTCCATTTTCCAGCCCTGTTCTCTGCCTGTGTTAGTGTTTTAATATTGATTTATTCCAGTTTATTTTGATCAGCACTCGGTCACTGATTTCCATCTTAACAAATGCGTTTAAGATTTCAAGACAAATTTGTTACTTCTGTAACATCGCAGGGTTGCGCAAAAGAACCTTGACACTAACAGACAAACAAAGAAACTTTCACTCCTGTCTCCATAATACAAAACACTTCGACAGTTCAAAATATAAAATGTGAAAGTTAAGATAATATTTACATGAAACGCTTCGTCCGAAAACTCAAAGTTGTCTGCGCGAGTTTAATTTTTGATTCACATTTTGGTTTCCTCTCCCCGTATTCAAAAACCGCCCTCACACAATTTATAGCGAAACAAATGTCGAACCCGTCAGTTTACGAAACAAGCGAATCGTGTACTAGTAATTGGTACAAGGCATGAAACTTGTGTGACGAAATACAAAGACGAATTATAGCCCGGAATGTTCATTAGCTTTATTAAGGGAATTTATTATTGATTTTAAACAATTTACCGAAATCAAACGACAGAAAAACATTAACTACAGATGTCAACTTTGATTATGAAAAACTGAGTAGCTTGTGATAATGTTTTGTGGTCTGCTGTTGTCATGACGCGGATGAACATTAGAATTTCATATTAACATAGGATCCCCTGACACCTGAACAATTCTGAAACCTAACCTAACCTTCCATTCCGATTTTCTAAGGAACACATAACACTGCGTTGTCTGACAAAAGTTTCTATAGTAATCCGATTTTTCCATTTTTTGAAAGCTATAAATAGTCATTTAATAATTTACAAAAAAAAATGTTTCACGCAGTTTCAATAAACTACAAATCTCCTTTTAAGCACTTTTAAAAAATACCCCAAATCATTTCGTGTTTTTTTTTTTCCTACACCACAAAACTTGCATTTACAATGTTTTACTCAGTACCCAAGACAGGCTAATTATTGTTCCACAGCTAATTATGTCGCTATCGACGGTGGTGCCATCTCCGTGGAGCCCCGAAGCAGGACCTCAACAGGGTCCTCAAGAACAACAGAAAATTAAATCTGCCTTCAGCATCACTGATGCGACGAAATTAGACGGACTCTACGTGAATCGAGACACATCTGAGAAGTACGCGGCATATTTGGTTGAATATCAGACGCCACTCGACGAGGAACCTCTCTCAAAAACAGGCATAAAGATTCTTGAATCATTACTTAGCAACCAGTCTGTAGTGGTTACAAGCACTGCAAATGAAGAATCTCTTCCCACATCAAATGAGGTTAAAACAGTCGTACAATTACTGCAGACTCAGAATGAACTTACGAGGTACACGGTTGAGACCAAGGAATTCAACGACACGACCGATTTTTTAGTTGAAACAAACGGAGACACTTCAGTTGGTATCGTTTTTATTCCACTCAACAGAACGAACAATTCGACTGAAGAAATCAACGAATTACTTCACGAATTCAACCTCACAAGATGGAAGTATATCTTGATTCAGAACATGACGATCGTCCACAAAGAAACAAAATCAACGCGTATGGATCTCGAGTACGACATTTCTTGGAGAGAGTCGAAAGAATATCGAATATTAAGACACTACGTCGACCCAGCCGTGTACCTAATCATATTTGTGGTCGGCATCCTGGGAAACGGGATGCTGTTGTTTTTATTCGTACGTCATCGCGAGCTGAGGACAATCGCGAAAGTTATGATCATCAACCTGGCGGTCTGCGATATCCTGAACCTCAGCATAAACGCACCACTTCATTTCTACTTCCATTACGAAGGAGGATCGGCCGAGTCTCTTACCTCGTGCAGGGTTGTCCTGGCTCTGAGGCAGTTCCTGAGATGCACCGGAGCCTTGGCCGTAATTGTCCTCATCACCCAACGCTTTATCATCATCAGAAATTCATCCGCGAGGCACTGGAAGCCTTTCATCTTAACAGTTCTGCCCATCATTGCCGTCTGGGTCCTCCCTCTAGCAATTGCATGGCCAAGTATGTACTTGCCAGAATTCTACGAACCAATTTGTTTCTTCCGCAAGCAAGAAGGTGGTCTTTCGTACGTGATCGTTCTAAATTTCGTCTTGTACTGCGTCATAATGCCCATAATGATGTTTGGATTCAGCATGAACATAGCCAGGCGCCTGGAGAAGAGTGTTAAGGACATGCCCGGAGAGATTCGACACACGGTTCAAGAACAGTTGAGGATGAGGAGTGCAAGGGTTATGATAGCCCTCGCAGTGGTGTTCGTGATCACGTACTTTCCGTTTCAGGTGTGGGTGTTGCTTGCGCGATGGGTGCGATTGGACAAACATCATCCCATCATGATCTACGCTCTTTACGTGTCCAAACATCTGCTGTTTGCCAATGGATGTTTTAATCCAATTGCCCTATTCATTGTCAGCAGCACGTTCAAGAGACTTCTTGTACGTTACTTACGTGGTTCAATTGAACAACGAACGTACAGTACAAACTTATGAACAGTGAACACGTGGAATTATAAACCAGCTGAACGGAAGAATCCGTGCAAGTTGTGTGTTCCGTTCAGCTGAGAAGGTTAAAACGCTGTGGCGATCTCAGGAGACAAATGCTGACGTGAACAGGAGATAGGGCCTGCATATATGAACATGAGAACGTGTTCTGCTCGCGATGTATACCTGCAGTCAGTTTGGTAACACGCAGGCCCTGACCTCGAACCTTTTTTTTCGGGAAACGGACGAAATTGAAACGAAAATTTCGTCACGAAACAATCAGATAACAAAAGTGAAAAATGAAGGGGAGCCCAAAATGTTTTATTGTCGTGGTTGGCACTCCTGTTCCGTGTTAGACGTCCTTCGCCCCGGGATTGTACGACCCAGAGATCGTCTATACCGATTAGTGTTTTCTACATTTTTTTTTCTCAGCCCTTCCAATTAAATGTTCCGATCATATGTTACATAACAGACGACTGCGTCCTTCCACGTGTTTCTGCAGTTCATCGATAACACTAGGCTATTTAAAAAAAATAACGTCACACCTAATCGCTGTCTGTTAACTGTGCTGTTTCCTGGTACTCCACTCATAACCTCTGCCATTTCAGTCACGTTCGTCAACTTCCGTTTAGAAAAAAAAATATTTTTTATTTTCCCATCATTATGCATTATATCATATCAGAGCGTTAATCACTGATTAAAAGCTGAGTTGGATTTGAGGTTTTGAAGGTGGTGAATCTGAAGATGGCTGTCTTCCTGAGTGTTGCACCGTGTAGTCTAGTAGAAGTTTACCAACGTTTCAGAGGTCTTACCTGCCTCTATCATCAGGGCGATGAGTAAGTTTTTCAAACGTTGGTGAACCTGTACCATACTTAACAACTCAGAAGACAGCCACCTTGATTAAAATTTGCCTTTACCCCGAGACCAGGGAAGTGTCTGGTCACAGACAGAGACGAAGCCCTTAACTCAGTACCGAGGGTGTGACGGACAATGTTATCGCACATAGCGTGGGGTGGTGATTTATGGACATGGGGGCAACGATGGAATGGCGATTATCTGGGAAAATCCTAGTAATTAGTAGAGAAAAATGTTTTTGTTCAACCAACGCTTCCCTGTTACACAGCAGGGACTTAGCGCGCAGAATACAGTGTGTCCCAAAAATATATACACTGCTTAAATATGTATGTATCTTTTTAGTAAACCTGTACTTGTGAAATTACGTTAAAAAAAACTAAAATTTATGGAACTGGAGTCAACTGTGATGGAAATTTGAAAGGCTGGATGACATTTATTGTGAGTCTGTGAATCAAACGCAAAGTGGTAAGCCACTGAATGTTTTCAGATTGCTTGAATACACATTAGCATTAAAACTATTCACGATGGGCTACTTTAAGTTGGTCAGCATTTTTTATACGTTGTCACGGAAAACTTATAGATCTTTTTTACAAAGAATATGAAATGTGTGGTACGAATACAGATTCGGGCAGATGAATGGTTCTGACGGTCATCAATTGACTTAAGGGTTTGCGTGTCAGAAAAATAAACTCGTCCACTCGCACAGGTTTTAAAACCAAATGTACATATTCATAAACACGATAGCGCACGACGTTTCGACCTTAAAAAACACTGTATATGATGCTTATCACTGTCGGATAGCATTTTTGTCTCTGAGACAGAATATGAGAGAGTAAGTCTGTTGACTACAGCCAGACAAAGTTAATATAGTTCCTTCAATTTATGGAAGCATGACTCGTGTATTTAAATATAAATGTACAGATCTGATCGAAAAATAAACGACTCTAGAACACTAATGGTTCTAAACTCAAATATTTATTTACATAAGTAAATAACCATTCTGTAAATATGTCTATTAAGTTTCCTGCTCCTTCCACGCAAATGCAGGGACGGTATCTTAAAATAGACTAAGACGAGTCATATCCACGTCTTAAGATACCCAGATATTTCTTAATGTACGCTCGATAACCTCTGCAGTTGACACAGCGTTATGCAACAAATACAATTAATAATAAACTGAACCAAAACGAAATACAATCAAGCATTTTCTTTGCTTCTGTCTGCCTGTCTTCGTTCAAATTTTTCTCTTCGATTCCTTCCTCGCGTTATTTTCTCCTCTCCACCCCTTCCTCATTTCTTTGTCTACACGAGTTCCTTCAAGTGGTTACGAATACAGAATATGGGTACAACAAATATAATTGCATCAATCGCTTAACCCTAAGAAGCACGAAACTCGTCTAAATTATATTTAAGAATTCAGTCCGTACCGCGAAGAAAACACAGCACTTCACCATTGCAAAGATCAACTGGTTAACGCTGTTTAAGGAAATAATACGACTAAAACGCTAATTAACCTTTGGAGCCGAAGCTCTTTCAAATGAAACTGAAGAATTCAGTCCGTACCGCGAAGAAAACACAGCACTTCACCATTGCAAAGATCAACTGGTTAACGCTGTTTAAGGAAATAATACGACTAAAACGCTAATTAACCTTTGGAGCCGAAGCTCTTTCAAATGAAACTGAAGAATTCAGTCCGTACCGCGAAGAAAACACAGCACTTCACCATTGCAAAGATCAACTGGTTAACGCTGTTTAAGGAAATAATCGCTGTTTATAGCGAGAATCATACGAAACCAATAAATGCACTGTGGGCATAATGCAGAATTTTTTAATGTTAAATAAGGTGGTAAACATAGTTACCATTATGCTTTAAAGAGTGACATTTTTATTCGCTCTACGAGCATGCTCATGGCTGTTCGGAATTTACGTGGTCTCATCTTCCTGGTGGTGTTAAAAATGGAACGGATTGATTACTTTAAGACTTATTACACAACCTAACCTAACCTGAAGGATAATTAATATTCTTGTGGGGAAATTTGTGACGCAGAAGGTGTCACCTTCGTTCAAGTGGGCTCCTTTAGTTATGGAACATTCAGCATGCAGCTCGGACCAGCTTTGTGCCTCTTGGTAGGTAAACTCTGGTGTAGAATTAGTTGAAATGTTGTGTGTGTGGAACAAAACAGATAATTAACATACATAAAATTTTTGCTACTGAACAGTGTGTTATTTGAGTACGTTTTACCAGCCTATAAAGTCGTGTATTGTAGAACGAAAAAATACACGATAATTTTGAATAGTAAAAACCCCAACTTTTCTGACCTTACACAATCATCGTTGATAATAATTATAATCATTAGACTCCCATCTGTTAAGACAAACTAAACATCTCTGGTTATAGACAAGGACTTAAGTCGTACAAATTACATATAACTTAAGCCCCTCTTACCTACAACCAAGAATTTACAACCTTGAATGAGAGACAACTAAAATTTCTAATTATCCTTCCACAGCTCAAATTACTGACCGTATCAGGAGCTATGACACGACCTTCAATCCGGCCAACAATTTTTCCCACGACGTCCAAGAAAAATTTAAATCAAGATTCTTCATTTTATAGTCATTTTTCGCCAACGCAACGCAAATTTACTTTGGACAACGTCAAGGAATACGTCGACGATTGTAATGAACTGGATATCCTAAAATGTTTTATCCTCTTGATCAAAGATTTGAAGCCAACGATGCAATGTATTATCTCTGGCGAACCAATCCGTGAGCCAGTTCTTTCAAATTTGTCTTTAACAGTTGAAAAATCAAATTTGAAACAAAAATTGCTACCTAACAGCGAGACAAGCCTTCGGAATTATTCAGCATTACCACGAACACTGGGGATTCTTTCAAGAGTCAAGTCAAACAGCGGGAAATACACAATTTCAATCAAAACACTTTGTAACACGACAAACTCAATGGATCAAAGAGGATGTGAAACAACGTTAAACACAGCTTCCGGTTCGTTAAATGAAATTAAAATTACTCTGCAGAATGTTACAGAAAACAGCGAATCGCTCGTAACACATAACCTCACTTTGACGCTGAATTATTCGTGCGGACGGATATGTGTTACTATCGAAAGAATGTCAGCTGGTCGTAACGAGGCGAAATTGAAAATTAATTCGACGGACGACAGTTTTATTCGGACAGGACCAGAAGAATTTCAACTATTCAAGCATTACATCGACCCGGCGCTGTACCTGGTAATCTTGGTCGTTGGCCTGATGGGAAACAGTTTCCTTCTCTTCGTGTTTGTCCGTCACCGCGAGATTAGAGCCACGTCCAACATCATGATTACAAACCTCGTCGCCTGTGACCTTTTGAACCTCATCTTAAGCGTGCCCCTCCATTATTTCTTCAAATACGGACACGCCCTGAGCCATTCTGTGACACTGTGTAGAACGGTATTTTCTACACGGATTTATTTCAGATCAGTGAGTGCTTTTGCAGTGGTTGCCCTCAACATCCAGCGTTGTAACACAATCACGTCAGGTCTCAAACCACCTCGTAATCTTCGAAGACACAAATGTAAGACGGTAACTTCCACAGGTCTCTGGATTCTTTCGGTGTGGCTGATTCCATTAACAACTGCACTGCCATCTGCTCTGGTGAAGGATTTCTACAATTGGCATTGTTTGTCGATTGGCGATGGATACTTCGTCAAGATAATGGTTGTCGTAAGTGTTTTGTTATACTGCGTTGTTCTGCCATCCGTGATGTTTGTCTGTAGCATTCTGGCAGCACGACATTTGAAGAGGAGTGCCAGGAACATGCCTGGTGATACGAGATACAGAATTCAGGAACAGCTGAGGAACAGAAGTGCGCGGGTGATGGTGGCTTTGGCGGTGGTATTCGTGTTAAGTTACTTCCCATTTCATGTGATGATTTTATTAATTCACTGCGTGGATGTCAGCGAAAGAAATCCACTCGTCTTCTATTCCCTCCACGTGTCCAAACATTTGCTGTTTGCCAATGGGTGTTTCAACCCCATCGCCTTGATCGTCGTCAGCGGGACTTTCAGGAAATTGTTTATAAATTTCGTGTCTTGTTCGGCGAGACAGAATCCTCAGGTTTAAACAGAAGAGCATTTACATGGTCCCGTCATAGATCGAGATGAAACACGTCCGATTAAGTCGAGTCAGTGTTGCACTGAAATATCATTATATTGTTATTATTGTTGATATTTTTAAAACAATATAACGCACTTAACCAATCTGTTTATAGTTTAACAGATAGAATAAACGTAACAGATTAATAGTAAACCAGAAAGTTTATTCGTCGATGTTGAGATTAATAGTAAACCAGAAAGTTTATTAGTCGATGTTGATATTCTGGTTTGTAAAGCCGTGTGGACCTGTAGGTAGATACCAAGGTTCCGGAGGAACGTGCTGCCTCCATCTTCATCCCTCCGAAACGTAGAATTCTGAACACCAACGTCAAAACCTTTATCGAAGCGAGAAACTCGAACCACAAACTACTTGATACATTAATACTGGCGGGTTACAGTGTTTAATGGAGGAACACGCCAGGAGAACCCTGAAAACCCATGTAACTTAAAAACTCTCCTCAATTCATCCCTGAAGATGGAAGCAAGATTTACCTCCGAAACACTAGTATACAACTAAAAGAATATATGACACAGTAACCCAGAAAATAACTTTTTTGAACACACAAGGGCATTTAACAAACTACACAGAGATAAATTTCTAACCATACAATTTCATATCTAAACTGTGATTAGCTTAGCAAGAGTAAAGGTGCATGAATAAATACATGGATATCGAGGTGAACGAGGTATGCTATGACGAAGAAGCTATTTGGAAAATTTTGTACGCTAGCAGAGCAAAACTTCCCGACTGTTGTTCAGAGCGAAGACGAGCTAATTTGCATTCAGCCGCGTGAGATGGCCGAACAGTTGCTATGGTTACATAACGCTTCGAAGGTTGGGCCAGTGAAGTCTTCTGTTTCCTC